CCCCCCCCCATTACTATTATTACTAATATACTTATTTTACATGACTTTCGCTTACTTTATTATATATGATGAAATAATTTGCGTGTCATCTGAATCAATGTGATTACGCATAAAATATATCTGATAATTTTTGAAATGATTATATCAAGAATATCTTCATGAAAACCCTTTGTTTTATTTTTTTATGTATTCCAGGTTCGCGGACACGTTTTACCGCTAGCGTTGCAGATGTATGGCTGTAGAGTCATACAAAAGGCCCTCGAGTCAATCGCACCGGAACAACAGCAAGAGATCGTGCGGGAGCTTGACGGGCATGTGTTGAAATGCGTAAAGGATCAAAATGGTAATCACGTCGTTCAAAAGTGTATTGAATGCGTCGAACCGCGGGCTTTGCAGTTCGTAATAGGTGCATTCGCCGGACAAGTGTATTCCTTGAGCACTCATCCTTATGGCTGCCGAGTAATTCAACGTATTCTTGAACATTGCACTGCCGAACAAACGCAAGGGATTCTGCAGGAATTACATGCCGCGACAGACCAACTCATTCAGGATCAGTATGGCAATTATGTCATACAACATGTGCTTGGTAAATACTTCTTTTTTTTCGTTGCGATACAATTGCTGAAGAAAACTTGTTGAGAACAGAGACTAATTTTTAGATAAAATTAATTAAGAGATAATCATCTTATTATGCAAATTGAAAATGGTGATGCCACACTTAATGCGTTGCGATAAAAATATTTATTTTTGCTTCTCGTAGAGCATGGAAAACCAGAAGACAAAGCACAATTAATCGGCAGTGTTAGAGGCAAAGTACTCGCCCTATCCCAGCATAAATTTGCAAGTAATGTAGTCGAGAAATGCGTAACACATGCTACTAGACAGGAACGCGCTGTACTGATTGAAGAAGTTTGCGGCTTCAATGACAAGTGAGTATGCAATCTTTATACGGGGAACGATTACATATTTTAGATATTTTAGATAGGTGTTATCGTGCGATTCTACGGAGAATAACATTCATCTTTTTCTCGTACAGCGCATTAAACGTTATGATGAAGGATCAGTATGCCAATTACGTTGTGCAAAAGATGATTGACGTGGCGGAGCCAGCGCAACGCAAGATACTGATGCACAAGATCCGACCGCATCTAGGGAGTCTGCGCAAGTACACTTATGGCAAACATATTATTGTTAAACTAGAGAAATTCTTCATGAAGACCGCTTCGGCGATGGGAGTGGGAGCGACGCCGACTGGTACGTCGACGAGCGGCGGAGGCGGCGATCTCGGCCCGATCGGACCGCCTGCGTCCGCCGCGTCCGGTCCGGTCTCGACGTCGAACCAGCAGCCAGCGCAGGTGACAGGTTTATAAACGTGCACGCGCACGAGGTTACTTCTGTCGCCGCAAAGAAGAAGAAAACCGACATAAAAAGAGGCAAGCAAAACAAAATTTTCGCATGTCCGCAGACGTGCGTTACTACTGTCTTACTTTTACTTTAGCGAGATCTGTTCTATCTGTATCGATGGGAATGATGATTTCAACGATCCCTCGTTTTGTTTTTCTCGCATTGCCCCGTGTCCTCGAAGGCGAAAGAAGAAAAGGCGAAAGCTTCGAAGATGATTTCTCGTGAGAAATTTGCTAATATACGATTTTTTTTATTTTTGCAATCGCGAAATCGATAATAATCGATAATACTTGTACAGTAAATACCAGCTTATTCGGGACCCGGGCAACGCGAGATCAGATGGCACATGACGAGTCCATTTTAATGAAAACCCCACGAAAGACAGTCCGTAGAAAACGAAGGTAGATATGTTGTAGCGCATTTTTCTATCGTTTTGCAAAACGTTCCCCTGCGCGGGCGACTATCACATGCGTAGAAAAATATTCACGTTAACGAGTATACTGAATGAAAGTCGCATTATAATTTTTGATTTGCGAATAACGTATCATGGCGATCGGCTCAACGAGTTTCAGATACATGACCGCGGCGCATGCTGAGCTAAAAGCTAAGCTGAAATGAGTTGAGCTAAGTTTAAGCTATTATTTTGTGTCGCATAAATTTCGTATAGATTCGAAAGAAAGAAAGAAAAATCGCTCGATTATTAGATTATCGTGCAGTCACATGCTGAATTATTTAGATTTGTTATGTCCTTTCAATTCAGCGCTCGAGGGAAAAAGTAGAGCACTATCCTCGGCAAGATTAAACAGCATGGAACATTATTATGGATAGATAAAGCGCGGCTCGTTGAGATTATATACTCGACGGACATTATACACGCTTCTACGAGGGCGGCACGGTAAAATCACGGACAGTTTTAGAGGGAGTTTAGGTCTTAGTGCTGTATGCATTTATATCGACTTGTAGGAGGGTTGTAGCACACACATACACACGTACTCACATGCCGCGCGTATGTGTAGCGTTCCCGATTTCGCGTATACCGCGCCGCTTTCCTCTCTTTTACACACAAAAGTGCTGCTTTAGTATTATTTTTAACGCGCGGTATTCGCTCGATCGACGAGAATCAGGAGACGAGAGAACAAGGTAAAACTTGAGAAGTAGAAGATTAGAAGTTATAGATATGTTGTTTAAATGTAGCATAGCGTTTGACATGGGAATGAAAATCGGGTACCGACCCTTGGACCTGACCTGGACCTGACCTGACCTGACCATCGATCTGTCCTTCTGAGATTACTTGGAATGTTTACACACAAAAGAGCGATTATTTCATTGTTTATTTTACTTTTCTTTCTCTTTTTTTTTTATTTTACGTCGAGATAATCTTTAAAGATTTCTTAATAAGAATAGGTTTTCCTTCCTTCTTTTTTTGTGCTTTGATTTTCGAGTATGATTACGTACGCATACATGCAGAGGGAAAAGAAAGCAAAAGTGAAAAAAAGAAATAAACGGAGCAAGACAACAACGTGTTGTTCCAATGATCTGTCGTTCACCTCTGTTCATTTTCGAGTTTGTAAGACTTCCGGTGCAAAGAATATTTCTTTCCTACTCTCTTTCCTCCCCTCCTTTTTGCATTTTCCGCTGTCCCGTATCCCATCCTTCGAGCCCTCTTGAGAGATCCTCGAGTTTTGTAAATTGTGATATAAATAAATAACAAATGTGTATAGATACGAATATCCGAAATACGCGAGGACCGATAAATTCAATGAATATTTTATCTCTCACGGGAACTTTTTTCCCCCTTACTTTTGACGGTCTGTGAATATTATGTATTATAATAATTACTAATTATATTAAATTTAACTATGATTTACGTTCTAACGCTGCTGTCCTAACCGATAAGTTACGCTCCTCTGTCCCCCCCCCCCTCCCCCCTCTCCTAACTCAACCGATTTTACATTTTTTTCAAAGTATCCAATTGTAAGATAAAAACATTTTTTTCATAGAATCACATCAGGAGAAAAAATCATTTTTATATACATACATATTATATATTTAATATGTCTATGTATATATAAGACATCGATCCCCTTCCCTGTTCTCCCTCAAAATAATTTGCAGCTACCGTTTCTAGAACGTTAAAGCCGAAGCCCATTGTACATTGTATAAATGATATAACGCGTTCTTGAGAAACAAAAATATCAGGAAATCGTGCACAATCGCATGTGTATCTATAATTCGTTCGCGTCATTTTCTCCCCCTTATCTCTTCGGATATGCATATATACACACGTACACACGCAACATTTTAATTGTAATATAGACCGACGATTGGAAGAAAAGGAGCGTATACTCAGCAATTTTCCATAGGATCGCATGCGCGTTTTACGAGAATGAAAAAGAAAAAAAGTAAACGCGAATGCTTATTAACATGAGGACCTTTTTGGACAGATTTTTATATATAACTTTTTTTCACGATTACATCAATCATTTTTCCGCGTTTAATGTATATGATATATTTTGTTGACATTAAATATATAGAAATTGAGAGAGAAAACATACGAAATTCGGCAGCAATTAAAATTAAAATCGCTTGTCTATACGCATTTAATTCCGTATAAAAAGAAAGGGAAAAAAGGAAGAGGGAAGAATGTGTAGCAGTTTTGTGAGATATTGTAAATAACGATGTATTAATGAAATTGACAAATCCCTAAGTACCTTTTCTATCTCTCTTTGTTCCAAGCGATGATTGCTCTTAAGATGTCGCGAAGCGAAACTGACGAATACGCGACAAAAGTGTACATTTTGTCATCGATCGATCTCGCAAAAAACGATACGACACTATGCAAATTCCGCAACGGAATATGCGTGTCCTTGCTCTTTCTCGGCAGTAGCGACCCTTTTGAAAATCGCTGAGAACACGCGCTTGCTCGATGTTAATATCCAAGTACACACATACACGGAAACACACACACACACACACACACATACACATACGATTGACAAGCTATAAAAAGGCGAGACGTACGGTTGATAAACTTCTCTTGAATATAGACAGACATTCCAACCGCCACCTCATCCTCAGTCGACAGGACACAAGACCTGTATAAACCGTTAAAACGCAGCGAATTATTATAAATAAACGCGAGAGACAGTGTAAAACGTGTTTATAATGTTTAAGGGAAACGACGAGAAAAAAAAAAAATAGTTCCTTCATCCGTGTAATAATCGCGCGCGCGCGTCATCTTGTAAATTAAAGGTCGAGAAAAAAAAAAACCGCGCCTCTCATCTGTAATAGTAATCCATCAATCACCCGTCGAACCGCGCATAAAGAAAAGCAAGGTAATAAAAATTAAGCGAGAAAAAACGTTAACAAAAAACGATACGAAGCGAAAGTCGAATGCAAAATCTCTCTCATGTCTTATCAGCTAATGTAAGATTTACTCGACTTACCTATCATATACTTTTATTACTATTATTATTCTATACATATATATATTATTATGGTATATTGTATTATTATTGCTATTATTATACTAGATACTATCAAATATTGTTTTGATTAACGGTGGTCCCCCCCTTTCCTTCTATTTGATTACTCATCTCCCCTCCTGACTTACCTATTTATTACTATTATTATTCTATACATATATATATTATTATGGTATATTGTATTATTATTGCTATTATTATACTAGATACTCTAGATACTAT